TAGTAGAAGTGGAGGATAGGGGCCAGAGGGGCAGACGACAAAGTCCAATGATGGGAGAAAGAAATAAAAAAATAGCGCGGTCGACGCAAACGCAAATAATAATTAAATGAAGACACAACAATTTATATATAGACTATTTGGGCATCCCAACACCCGGCGTGGAGGGCTACAGGGCGGCAACTCCACGGCTTGCCTCTACACCAGCATTTGCAAAGATCAATCCATGATCAGCCCGAACGCCTGAAAACCCAAAGGGCGGCGTTGTTTGACCCAAATACTTGCAGTATCCGTAAGATCTAATCAATACATAAGCAGGTTACGAGTTCATCGATGAACTTGCGACACATGCCGTGGGAGGAAGGGACGGAGGAACGATGGCTCTGAAAGGAGTCTTCAAGGAACGACTTCTTCAGATCGTTTCGGTGGCTACACAGGTGGCCATATCTCGGCGAGTGCAGAGGTACAAGCTCGCATTGCGCGGGCGTCAAGACGCCGAAAACAGGCGAACAAGATCGACCTCGGACCAGTCAACGCCAATGATATGGGGATGGAGTGTAGACGCATCGTAGAACGCGTTTTCGTTTGAAGTTGGCGTCTTGTTTGAGAGTAGATGTGACAGATTTGCGTAGAATAGGGTAAGACGTTATCATGAACGGAGATGAAAGGGCTTTTCCAACACGGAGATGTAGCATGGATCAAAGCATTTGTTGGATTTCAGCTTTTACAAGCGGACATCAACGCAGTAGTATTTTAGCAAGCTTACGAACGCATATAGGATACCATCAGGATTGTCATTGGTTTTATTTCAAGTTGAAGAGGAGATACTTTTACGATGTAAATGACAGTAGAAATGAGTCCTACATATTATGTTGTTGTACTTCGTATTGGTTTAATATTCATGTAGAGTATGAGACATTAAGTGAAAGTTTTCTGAGGTACATCTGCAATTGTCTGAAGGCAAATATAAATAAATAAATAAATACATATAGGCAGGTGTCGTTCTTGTTCGAACTCTTTGAGAAGTACATTTCAGAAATTTCTCAACAACCGAAATTTCTGTGCGCGTGGCGTGGAGGCGGGTCTTCCGTCAACCAGGTTTGCGCGGTTTGCGCGTTTAGCAATACGTTCGGCGATGGACGATTCTCCAACGCCGTAGGGCGCGCGAGGTGGGGCATGAATCACAAAACAGGCCACCCGATCGAGATATAACTATGCATACTGCCGTAGATTAGTCTTGGATGCCCCAGTCGAAGGATTGGAACTTGAGCAACGAAGTAACGAACTACCAAAGAAGCCTGAAAGAATTTCACGCTGTGCATGACGTAAAAAAAGCTGGATGTTTTTCTAGACTCCCTAAAACTCAACTCTCTCTTCCCCAGTGGAGCGCGCGGTCAGTATACGTACGGTCGGCCAGGTCAACGCACCACGAGGCAATCAGATGATGATGGCTGCGGTGGATTTGCATGAGTTGGCAGCTTTGCGACAAATGTTCACACATCACACATGCACCTGATCCGTCCGCAACACCGGCAGCTCCAAAAACTTGGTTCCAGTACCGTCCTCCATCAACTGCACCAAAGGCGCAGCGTGGATGTATCCCAGCCTAACTATCTCTCCTGTACTCGGGCGCGCCAAGATAGGGCTCCCGCGGTGGCTCGGCTCCATAGTTCCAGCTAAACAGGAAGGTAACAGAATTGTGTTGTTGAACGGCGTGCGAGGTGTGTCGGTTCACTGCGAACAAATAACCAAGAACGTTCCTGAGGTCCGAATATTTTCATGGCCCTGACGTAAACTGGTAAACTATTCGTGTAGTTCCCCACCTGGGAATTTGCGAATTCTTCCTTTGGGCTTGTCCGGCAAATTTGAAGGCGGCTGTTTGTTGCAAAATCCGTTCCGGTCGATACTCGTCGGGTCATGTCACGGTCCTGTGACCGATGAGCGAGGGGTTCCTTAGACAATCCTTCGCCCCCGCTCATACATATGCAACCGCGAAACGTCCACAGCGCAGCAGTACAAATCGGAAAAAAATATCGCCAGTCCTTCGCACGATCAGCGTGCATCACGTATCAGAGGTTCGTGGAATTGAGTGAAACAGTATGTACTGCTGTAGACCAGACTACGTCAGGTAAGCTACGACTTTACAGCAGCAGTATGTACGGGCACGTCAAATAAAATCCGGTCGAGGCTCAGTTTCTTATTTCGCCACCACCCTCCTCTTCCCCTCGCTGCCTCGGGAAGGTTTTGACCCATAGCGAGGGGGGGGGGTCTTTCTAGCGAGCAGGGCTAGACTCACCCTCAAGGGACCGATACCTTCTTGCTGCGGCGCACCCGCCGCGAGGCGCGCGTAGTGGTGGAGTTGGGTCGGCACTGGTGCGTCAGGTACAAAGGTGCAGATGCGCGGGCCTCCAGGCCGGCGGTGTAGGCAGCAATCCTCTTTCATCTTTGTGCGCGGAGGCAGACGTCATCAGAAAGGTGGACGGGCACTATGTACACGGCCCTAGGTTTGCTAGAGGGAGCTGTACTGTCTCAGTAACCTGGTTTTGCCATCAAGGAGGAGGGGACAGGTCGTGACGAGCGGATTGGGCTGGTTGACCCTTCTTCGCGAGAATTTTCAGACCAAGAACCCTAAGTGCAACGAGGGAGAAAGCGAGCAACCGACTGGGAAGGGCAGCAACGAGAGCGTGTACGAAGCGGAGCGGGTCGAGTTTGGTCGTGCTAGGACTGGCCACAGCGGCACCGGAGCAGCGGCACCGGAGCATGCGGACGGCATCGAACCCGTGGCGCACGGATCCATATCTCTTGTGTTGTCAATTGTTTTCCGTTTTTTTCCTGAGAATAGTCTATTTTTGTCTAGGTGTTGCGCGTGTGTGATGACGTCACTGGTTTTGTAAAGAGACGTGGCAGAGATGGCGCGGATAACCCGGGTGCCTTTATTGTGTACCTGCATCGCGGAAGACCCCTTCAATGTGGAACGATTACGATTCCTAGTCAGTGTCGATGTTTACACTGCTGTGCCTAACACAGATGATCTGAATAGATTCGGGTGATTGTCGATTGCAATGATGGCTTTGGTTGGGTGTTCTTCTTCATTGTATGTCCACGACCTAATTCTGACAGCACTTCAGACAGCAGCTGCATGCCCCAACAGTGCCGGCATTCGTCAGGCCGATTTTGGTTGACCGGCCATAACTTCACGAGTTTTTCACTTTTTTCAATTTTTGTTTTTAGTCGTAATCTACATCCTATTTGCCGCAAGAGTTGTTCAGGAACCAAATCGATTTGAGGCGTTTCTGGAATTTCATGGTTTTCGTAAAGGATTTTCAAGGTATTTCT